ATAAAGAAGATTTATCTATATATATTTGTTTTATACTTACAGTATTGTATAGACACATCATGGATGCAAATGTATACATTTAGTATGGTTGTACTTGTACCATCCTTGATCAATACTGCTCTCAATATCGGTATATTTCTTTATGTTCGATCATCTACTCGTCGTATTCAACCACGGAATATGACTGTATTTATAACTGGTAGTATCAATCGACAACCAACAATTAGTCGTCGAGATATTGCATTGATGAAACAGATGATTTACATGTTTACAATGTTTATTGGAGGATGGACTCCTCCTTATTTGCTTTTGGTTATCGTCACGCTCCCTAGTAAAACTATTTTAGTTGTTTTTTATGTCCTTGTCGTGTGGGGTGAATTCCTTTTCTTGGGAATTATCATAAATTTATTCAAGTGCAATCATGATCTGAGAGAGTATTTATTGAATCAATTTCGACGTCATATCTTGCGATTATAAAAATGAGAGACTAACAAAAGTTTTTTGTATAAATATATGTATAATCTTATTCTAAATAAATGTTTGTAATTGTGTAGTAACATCAAGAAATACTTTTTTTCCTATATTTTCAATTGGCTATAAAAAAAGTGATTTGAGAATTTAAAGAAATTTCTTTCCAACTATTTTAGTTCTAATTTATGATCTTCATAGTACTTTTAAATAGTTTGATTAATAAATAACATTAATAGATATTAAACAATCAACGGTTACTACATGTTTATTAATAGACAATCGCATAGCATTGATATGATATCTAATAAAAAATATTTTAGCTATTCTCAAAACGATGTGAAAATTAGTTCGAGTTCTTACATTGCACAAAAGCAAAATCTTTACAAGTTTAACATGTTACTGTACATACTGTATGTTAATTATGAAATTTAAGACAAATAATTTTACTATGAAGAAAGAAGTATAATAATTTGATAATATATAAGTTTTAATAAAAAAGTTTTATAATTTTGCTAATTATGATAGTTCGAATCAAGAATAAATATAAATCAATTTATCAGTTTCATCTTTTCAATTTAGGAGTGTTGCGTTCCCATTCCGTTCCTAAAGAACGAGAAACGGACACTAATCTCGCATAAAAAGATGAAAAAATATGTATGCATTACTGATGAGTCCGGAAGTAGGCGATTTATAAATCTCGACTCGGTTTGTAAATATCCTCAACTTTCACAATTTTTGATAAATTTAAATTTTTTGTCAAAATAATTTCGGACTCGACAGTAGTATGCACGACTCAATATGTTCAAAGAATACCAGAAAACGTAATATGAGTTGCGTTCTCGTTCTGTTCTGAAGGAACGAAAACACATCACACCTAATTTCAATGTTAATCAATTACTATTTTTACTCGTGTTTACATTTTAAGCATCTTCTATTGATATATAGATACATTTATTTAATATGCGTGTGCATATATATGTAAAGATTGTCGAAGATCCATATTGAAACCCTCAAGATATATATCATCAGTAGTATATAAAAAAAGCATAATAGTTGTTAAAACTAAAGAACTATTATAAAAGTAATCTTTGAATAAATTTACGTCTTTGTCGAGTGATCTTACTTTGATGAGATACGGTATTTGATCTTGAATGTCAGATTTATCTTTGTTAATATTAAAGTTGTATAATAACCCGTTTTTCATATCACATTCAGTACTACTTCGATTCTAATTTTTCTCATATTTGCGAATTAATACAGTAAATTTTATTCTCTTTCTCGTAGAGAAGAGTCCAGTAATCATAAGTTGTTTGCTTGTATGTCCGTAGGATCAAAAAAACATCGAACACTGATTTTTCGAAAAAGACATTCCTAGAGGTATTTTAATGCGTAGACTTCGAATCTGAGGTCTGTTGGGTGACCATGGTTAGGGGTGGGTGGGTGTGGGTGAAAGGTCAAAAAAACATCGAAAATCACTTTTTCACGTTTTTTATTTGTTTTTCTAGTAAATGTGAAGAAAATGGATTTCTACGAGAAAAAGCTAAGCGAGTCCACGGACGAGCGTTACTTGTTTCATATATTACAAAATAATAACCATAATTGTTTCTTAAAAACATCATGATTTCATGTCAACTTTATGTCCCCTTTTAATTGGAAAGATCATTTAAATTGTTCATAGATTTATACGAAAATATTGCTTTTACTTATAGACGAAATGATCGTTTTTTGTCTTTCATATGAATAACATACGAATTTTTCAATTGATTCTTTTCATATAAATTTCGCAGAAGGATTCGCAAATTATACTTCAAAACTATGATTTACCGATTTGCAATAAAAAACAAAATTCTAATAAATCAGTTGACACATGCGATAAGTTAAAATGTATATATGTCAAAAATTCTATATGATTGATGTCTTTTGTTCGCATCATCTATTGTATTTTGAAATATATACATATCTGATATACATAAAAAGCAAATATAAAATATTATACTAAAGTATAGAATAACAGAATTTGTCCTTTTGTGTAGGTAGATAAGGTATTCGCCGATAAAAATAATAAGATATCAGCCAACAACATATAAAACTTACTCTATACGTCTTTTTTAGTTCATCCTTATTTTAACAATGAATAACAACGTTACCTTGATGCCACACATTTGCTTTATAGTATGTGATAGTGGACCAGCAGCTCATTTTGCAGTATTTGCTAATCAACTTTCTAGCAAAAATGAAATACAAGTCAGTATATATGCTAGTGGACCGGCACTAACTAAACTAAAAGATTCACATTTATCGAATGATATTCAACTTCTTCCATTTACATTTGATGATTCTGATCGTAATCAACAAGACATAGTAGCTATACAATTAATTGATAATTGTGTAAAACAAAATGTACGTACAATAATTGTTGATATCGGTAACAAATTTGATGCAGTATTTCAAACTGTTTTATCTAAATATAATCTTTCATCTAATACAATTCATTCATGGTGTTATTATGATAATACAGAACCATATGTACCTGGTGGTTATTCAATTAAAACAGAGGGAACTATAAAAATATCACCGTTTATTCTATTTGCTAATATGAATTTAGCTAGCATTGATTCAAATATTTATTCTTTACCTGAAAAAAAGATTGATTTAACGAATAAAACTAAACAAAGTATTGGTTATTATCCAGTTATAGAAATAGAAAAATTATTTCAACAACGTCAAATTGAACGAGATATTTTACGTACACAGAATAATTGGAATAAGTTTAAATATTTATTTGTGTATTTTGGTGGAAATAATGATACATATTTTGATCAAGCATTTCCTGCTTTTCTTTCAAATCTATCACAAATAGAAAATTATTTCATTCAAGATATTTTATTTCTTGTACATCAACATCCAGCAGCAAAAAAACAAAATCGAGATGCTTTATTATTGCAAGATTGATTATTAAAAAATGACCATATTCATATAGTTTTATCAACATTGAAGAATAGTGATCAAGTACAAATCGTTGCTGATGCAGCTTTATATTATCAAACTAGTATGGCACCACAATTTGTTCTACTTGGATTACCAACTATGCAAATAGGACATGAAATTTATCATGATATCTTAGTTAAATACAATTTATGTTATACGGCTATTAATTCAACGGAATTAAGAATTGGATTAACAGCAATGAAAAGAAAGAATGCATCAATAGATGACATAGAGCAACATAAACAGTTGATATATAATGCTATTGGATATACATCTGAATGGTCAACTAATCTTCGTCATATTATCTTCAGTCATAAATAAACTATATTCGCTTTTTTTTCTTCTTCTTCTTCTTATTATTTTGATTATCAGTAGTGATGTATTAATTCATGTACTCTGCTTCTGCAATATAAAAAACAATTTATATTATATTTGAATTAAAAGTTTAATAAACTATATAAAATTAAACGGTTAATCCATTAACTCATTTAATCAAGACCTATTGAATTGTTATCATCGTTATATTTGAATAATTTTTTGTCTTCGTACTTGTTGTGCTTTTTTGTTCGCAGTTACATATATATATATATATATATATATGTCAGAGTAAAAATTGGAATTCAGTTCGATTTGGAATTTTCCTAGTACAGGTTGGAATTCTAATTTGAACTAGGATAAATTAGAATCTTTATTATTACTAGTTAAATATAGAACGATTCCATATTGAACTAGTTCAGTTTGGAATTCTATTTTAAACCAGGATAGTGTGGAATTCTAATATTTCCTATTCACACTGGACTAGTAAAAATTAGAATTCTTATTAGAACTAGTTCAGAATAGAATAATACAACAGAGTTAGAAGTTGAACATATTTTATGGACAAATTTCTGACACAAAGATAAAGTTTTTTTGCAAGAATGAAAAGAAGAAGTAAATAATCACAACAGTTTCAAGCGGTATACATGAGAACCTCTGTCGAATCTAGGTAGAAAAAAAAGATCAGTTGATGTAACACTTTTATAATTAATATTTTACCTCAAACCAGGTTTAATCCCTTCCCAAGTGTCCAACTGCGGTATGGCACTCATCAATTTTTTGAAACAAATTTTCGAAATATTACCACAGGAAGTTTTTCTTTCAAAGAATATAGAATTTCTTGATCGCTGATTTTCACCAAGTAAAACCGCTGTTTAGCCCAAAACTTGAACTTTGCTCCAAAGTTACCTTCTTCCCTTTTTAATATCTGCATCACTTGCTTGTGTGTTTCAGATTTGATGATAAATTTTTCTTGTTTTCCTTTACTAAGTGCTTGAATATATGAATTTACTTTTTCATAGAATGCGTCTTCCATTTGAAGTTGCAATTTATTTATCACACACTCTCTCCATAAAAAATGAGCCACTATATATAGGTTGGCAACAAGGAGAAAACCTATATATGAATACTTAAGAAAAATCCCTAATCTGATCATTCCATAGAGTGATATAAAAGCTAAGATAATATAGAGAGGATTAATCCTTCATATATGAAAGAGGGAAAAATACCTCTCGATAGAGAGCATGACAAGAAACGATAATACATATGCAAGAAGAAGCAGAACAGAAAAAAAAATAACACATATACTATCATAGTGATGATGGTTCTTATGAATTCTATTCTGAACTAGTTCTAATAAGAATTCTAATTTTTACTAGTCCAGTGTGAATAGGAAAGGCTACTATTTATTTGGGCAATTTAAAAATCGAAGTGGGCATTAATTAAAAATACGAAGTAGCAATAATTCGTGGGCGATTAAAAATTATTTTTCGGCAATTTTATATTGCGAAATGGGCAATAATTAGTTAATCAAATTGCAGTAATAAATATACATGTGAGCAAGAATAAACTAAATATGAGCAACAATAAATTTAATTATTGTTGAATTATTATATTTATTGGTCAATCAATATAATTATTGCCCAGTCAATATATTTATTGCTAAGTGTAATTTTTTATCGCTAAACTTGATTATTGCTCATCTATATTATTTTTATTGCCCACTCGTATTATTTATTGC